ACGTCGCCGCTCCCGATGATACTATCCGAAGATGCATTTGTTGCGCTGCTACCTTCTTCTTCTTCTAAACATGACTCGATCATTATTTCCAACAAAACCATCATATCCTTACACTTTTCAAATCTAGAATAAAGCAGAAAGTAATCCAAAAAACTTCCTATAAATGAAAAACAAACCTTTCAGGAAGGCATTGACATTTGCTAGGATAATACTGAACGCGTACAGATGATTCCTCCGTTCGGCTAGCTGCAAAAGATAAATGATTTGGAATCTGCACAATAAAACAATTCAGGAACTCAAAAAATACTGCAGGAATAGAGAAGTAGAATCTGTTAACTGCATGAAGCGTTAAATATTTTGCCTTGATGATTTATAATGCTCGTCTCAGAGCTTCCTAAGAACAATCACGAGATAATATTTGCTCTATTCATTGACTTTAACAAAGAGAATTTTTACTGAAGTCACAGAAGAAATCAACGAAAACTAGGCGTAACAGCTGGAAAAAATTCAGCCTTACCTTCGCTTCCAATTTTCGCTGTCTTTCGTGCTGTGCTTCCAAATCTTCCTTGACTGCCTCTAACTTTCTGAAAGAATCACTATCAACATGACCAGAAAAAAATTCAGGTAGCTTGTTTCTTTTCATTCCGTGGAAATACTACTGCGTCTCGATCGAATAGGACTGGAAAAACTCACTTATTCGTATCTTGACGTGACGGAAACTGCTGTATGACATTCGCCAGAGCCTCGTACTCCTCTTTATTCCGTCGAATCACCTTCGCTGCCTCCAGCTCCTTTTTGGCCGATTGCATCCTCTCATGCGCACAAACAATCTCATTATCTGCAAATGACTGAACACTTACACCAAAATTGCCTTAATCAATCATTCGCCACAAAAGAGCGATCGAACCGAATTGACATCGTCCGACAGATCGAAAACTCCAACCAATGCAAAAGAAACTCGAAGTGATCAAAATCAACACACAACAAACGAACAAATCATAATGCTCATTTACCAATTTCTTGAGCCATCCGTTTGTATTTCTCGATTTGTTCTTCATTCATCGTTGCGATGAGCCTCTGCTTATGCAGTGATGTTTCAGCGGCGTCCAATAGTTGCATGATTCGTGGTAAATTACTGAACTCACAATCCATAAATTTAATCACATAAAGCTTTCGCCCACACCCAACTATCGCCAAAGTTCTTACTAAATGGTTTCCGAATCAACTCCATTCCGTCTAAATAAGAACACCTATAGACTCCTTAAGATATGAATAAATCAAAGGAGATGTGAAAATTTTCAGCCTAATCTCCACCAGACTACATTCACAACTTCTACTCATCAAAACTGCTGATAACGATTCGTTCATACTGCTAGCTCGTCATTAATCCACGAAATTGATTCAATTCCGAGTTTCAGTTCAGAATGAGACTTACTTCTGAGCCGTCTCCGGATCCTTCATCGACTTGATCAGTAACGATGCCAATACTGCGAATCGCTTGTCATCTCCACATCCGTGACCATCTGCCACCAGTTTTCTTATAATGCATTCCTCATTCATTTCTCGCTATGTTCAACCTGTATCCGAAGCACTTCTTATTGTTAATAATAAAAATATCTTTGATACTATCACGTCAATGAAAGGAATGATTTTTTGGTACCTTATATGATCATTCAAAAAATACATCACGAAAGAATTAGCCTACGTGATCTTTACGAGCTAGGTATCATTCAGAATATTTCAAGTTTATTTCATTACTCATACTGTTATACGCCGTATCATTATTAATATCACCGTAACCTCTCCAGGCGCCTAGTTGACATCTAATAAAACTGACCGGCATTATAGTTTCACTGACGGACAACAATACCTCTAACTATCCTAGTAGTACTGACAGCACTAAACACTTACATAAAGTTCTAGAATGCATCCATCTGATCCAATCATATCATTTCACACCAACGTCATTGCTACAACCATCCCACTTTTTTCAATATATGCCTAATCAGTGCACCCGTTCTAGGAAAGTCAAATAAACAATTCATTTACCCTTAGTCGAACACTCTCTCACAAAATGCCCAACTCACAACATCATCAGGAAGTACTGATTGTCACAAACAATCTAAAATCTAACTCCGTTCGACTCAGATCCTTAGAACTGTCTACTCAAAAAACCATAAATGATACAAACCAAGATCAAAGGTAAACAAAGCTAAGCGATGGATAAAATCAATCCATTGGTACTTTCTGAGATTTCTTCAGGGTATAAAGCAAAATATTGATTGTGAACAAAAAACAACAAACGAATGTGATTTATTTGCATATGCATGAATTACCAAATATATGAAAACATTTCACACACATGCAAAATGAACACTGAAACAAACAATAACAACAATTGTATGTAATTATTCAATCACACAACAAATTTTATATCAGATGCATTCTGCTATCAATTTGTGACACGCTCATAGGCCGGATCTTTCTTCAAGCACTTGATTCGTTCTTCTTATGTTGTTGGTGTCTTTTGTTGTGCTTCTTGGCGAATCGCAGGTTCTTCAAGAACTTTTTGTCGACGCCCTTCAACGATAAGAAACGATGCTTCATTGGCCTCTTGATACCATTACGATGGTCTTTTCTATCTGAAATATATGATTCATCATGAAATGGCATGATACAAGTCACTGTGCCTCAGCATACACAATGTTAATTGATAACTTTAGAGGAAGCTCCAAAGCNTCTTCGAAAAAAGACAAAGTTCGGGCATTCGCTTTATTTGAAGTTGACTTAATTCGAGAAGAGCAAAATGAAAGACGAAGACGTTGTAAAATGAATGTTGATCAGAATTCATTACCCTTGAAATGAGACAATAAAATTAAAGAATTCAGTAGAAAATCCAAAAAGCGCAGAACTTACTCTGATTATGACTGGTGTGGTTCTTTGACTTCGCCATTACGCAGTCAAGGCAACTTTTAACAGTAAAGGGAACCTAAAAACCATTTACACATAAAACTATTCAATCCAGGACGACAAAACACCGGAACTGAACCAATAGCGCACAGATTCCGAATAGGTAAACATCAAATACTTATATCTAGTCGAGCCGAGAAGTTTTGTTGTAATTTTTCAAACGGATCAGTTGAAATGCCACTTCCACTTCCAACGCTAATTATTATCTTTGAAAAACATTCTACAATCCCAAAAAATAGTTAAACAAGCATAAGTAAAAGTCATGGATCGCTTATCTACCAGTTTCGATCGACTGTAACTAAATCAGAGCCTTAGAATGAGCAAAATGATAACCGCCTGTCGTCGAACTTACATAATTAACCAAAATCGGTAAAAGCGCCCATCTAAACAAGAAAACACTGAAATTATAAAACAAAATTTAAGGGTACATCCCAAATAAAACGTTAAGAATCGTAAGCTCACAATTCGCCAATTACGAACAGAGAGACGGTTCGCCAAGTAACGGCGATCGCATTTTTACTTGTTGTTTTACGGAACATTTGGTTTTCAGGAACGTATCTTCTTTTCAGGAACGTAAATTTCTAACAATAAGTGTAATATCCATATTTGACCAATAAATAATTATCGAAACTCATTCAGTCTCTCCTTCTTGAATCC